ATATTAATTTTGATTGAATTTATTTTTTGTTTGGTTGAAAAAAATTTTTTTGTTTGAAATTATTTTTTTTGATTGAAGATGCTTTTTGTTTGATTGAATAATAAAAACACAAATTTACTTCCATATTGCTCCACACCTTGTTTCTTTAACGCACGATTCATTTCTGTACGCTCAGGATGGACGGTTCCATCAGTGATTTATGAACAGGTAGAAGGAGCTTAAAGACGGAGTGGACTGTGTCGCCATTTTACACAACTGTTTTATGTGGAAGTTTTACATTTCCCTCTTCTTAGCCTTGATTATTTTGATGTCTTATTTAGGTTGTATTGATGGATTCTCCTCATTTCCAATTATTTCAACACATTTGCACCTGTTTTTGCCGTAAGACGTGACCTTGACCTTGTTTTCTGTCTCCGTTCCCTCAGCCACAGCACACACCGCACCTTTGGCAAGCAGCAGTGGCAGCAGCTGTACGACAGCCTCAGCTCCTGGAAGACAAACCTCGCTACAGTCAAGACCAGCCTGCAAACTCTGTCACCTTCTGCATAGATCCTCTAAAATACCACCTGTCAAAGCTGCACGACTCTCGTTACTTCATTGCTTTCCAGATTCTCAGACTGAAAAAAAATAAATTTAAAAAATCAGTTTTTATATTCAAATAAAAGAACAGTAAAGGCTGAGATTGGATGTTTGTGTGTGTTGAAATATATTTTAAAAGTAATATTAAAAACAAAATGCATTTCTTAGTTTTACATGATCAGTATTACACTAAAAATAGATCATGAACACACCGTATAATAGCTCTTTTTATTTTCCAGCAGCTCTTAACATCTGTTTTTAGTTAGAGCAGTGTGCCAATAATGGTAGATGAACTGTGACTGGGGGTGGGGGTGAGAAATCGTCTTCAGCAGGAAGGTCACTTTGTCAGGAACACACATCTGACAACTTTCACGTGAACTTGAGGTGACCCTCCTCGCTGCACTCAGAGCTGTTTTACTGTAGTTCCAACACGTGTGACGTCGGCTCGTTCGCTGTCGGTTTAAAGCCATCTGATGGGTGAACGTACCTCAGCCGGCATTACTCCCAACCCCTTAATGTTCCTGAAATGTAGGAAAACAAGGACTTCTACAATTTCAGGTTGTAGTTTACCAGAACTTTAAAAATGTCAAATCAAAAGTCACATGAATGCATACCATAAATACTATAAGTTATTCAGCTGTTTGTAACAGAATAAAGTAAAGTGTAGCATTACAGATTTTCAGCATTAAAGCTCACTATTAACTGTACATGACCAGTACATCAAAAAATCTGTTGAAACTAAAGTGCCTCTTCATGCAGATCCAAACAAAGAAGTTGTTTCTTAAAGAACTGATTACAGGCAGCACTAAGCATTCATATTGGATCATTTATGGGTACCACTTAGATTGCTTGTAGATAGGTTATTAATTCATCTGTAAACACTTTAGGACAAGAAAGAGACAAAATTGTCCATTTTCTCGCAAAATAGTCAAATCTATTCATTTACATATTGAATCTAAAGTGCTATGTTAAACATTTCAGTCTAGGTTTCCACCTTGTAAGCACAATTTGGAAACATTTTTTACTGTACTATATTACTGCATTATACATTTCCACAACTATTTAAGGGAACCTTAAGACAGTAGGTAAACTATTTATTAATGACTAATAAATGTAAAGGAGTCTTATAAATAGTGTACTGTTTTACACTTTACAATAAGCTTCCTTATGGCATTTATACATGTTTATTAGTCATTAAAAATAGTAAACTATTTGCAAGCCATCTGTATGGGGAGCCTTAAAAGTGGTATCCATTTATGATATGGGAATTGTGTTTAATAGAGATTCTGTTGGCGTTTTCTCTGATGAAATCAGCACAAACTGACAAAATTCTGATTATTCCACTAAGGGGATCCACGGGCCTTATCTGTTGGGCCTATATTATTTAATCTTTGTCCTATAAAAGTTACAAGTTGATCTTCTGCCTCTAAGCTTAGTAGTTGGTTGAAACCTTTAGTTCTGCCTGAAAAGTGTTTTCCATAAAGTGTGGCATTCACTGTGTCAGTCTTTTTTTTTTTTAAAGGTCTGCTAAGCCTCATTGCTCACTTCTACCCGGTCCCCCTAAGAGAGCAGCATCTCTAACTCTTATCGGAGGGTGTAAATCACACAACACATTCTCAGGAGCACAGCCTCATCACAGCCACCTGTAAGGTGGAGCATGGAGCAGATACAAACTGATGGGACTAAAGCTGAAAGTCCAAATCTCAGCATTTTTTTGCTTACAGTAGCCTTTTAGTTACTACACTCTTATCAGCTTCTCTTTAATTTGTCCAACTTGAAGAACATTTTTTTGTAGATTTTCTGATACTTCAGATGCAAACATTGTCAGTTTGTGGTGCCATTTAATCATTCACTCAGATTCCAAGAGTAACTGAGTATAGTTTAAATTATTCTTGTTCATTGAATATTTTCTCTGTACACGTATTCTGGTTCATTTCTGCTTAGATGGAAATGTAGTTTTGCTAAATTTATGCTGCTGGTTTAGATCATTGAAACATGCATATTGGAATTTAACCATGATTGGTGAAAAGATCCTAGTATAAAACTACTGATGTTATATTATTGTTATAATGTTATATTAAAATGTAGCAACACATATATTGTTAGAAATGTTGCCAAAGAAATATTTTCAGTATGTTTTGTGTACAACCCCAGTTCCAAATAAATTGGGATGCTGTGAAAATGTAATTAAAAACAGAAAGCAATCATTTGCAAATATTATAAACCCATATTTTATGTACAATGTAACACAGTAAACATAAAAAGGTAACTTTGAATTTTAGGGCAGTAACATCTCAAGCTTCCTTACATAAACAAAAAGTAAAAAGTTCTCGAACTGATCGAGGTTAAAACAATAACACTAATATAAAATATGTCACTCGTTCCTTTTTATCCCTACAAAATGTATTACTGCATGTTGTGCAGCTTTAAAGGCTGCCAGAAAACACGGTGCCTGTTTCCAACCATCTGTAATGTAACTCCAGACCCACTGAATGACCTTTCCCCACACAGCTCCTGAGCTATACTGAGAGAAATGTAGATGAGACTTAAAAGCTTTTACGAGACTTGACGCAGAGATGTCAAAAGATAGCATCATGTTACATCATAAAACATGAAAAAGACGTGAAGCAGTTAAAATGTTTGGGCCAAGTTAATGCTTGTTTGTCATTTTAAAAAGTCACAAAAAGAAGACCTGTTAAAACCAAGTAAGTCTCAAATTTCAAGATCAGGCAGAGAAGTGTAAAAATTATATCCATCCATCCATCCATTTTCTGTACACGCTTCTTCCTTTTCAGGGTCGCGTGGGTCACTGGTGCCCATATCCAGCAGTCACAGTGCGAGGGGCGGGGTACACCCTGGACAGGTCGCAAGTCCATCACAGATGCTGTAATAGTTCTCAAAACTAGTAAGCAGCTCAAATATGTAAAATTAAACTTCCCCTGCGAGTATTTATGAG